TCTATTTATTAGTTATTAAGTATATCTATTTATTAATTATTAATTAATATATAATATAATTAGTAATTAATAATTAATTATTTAATATAACTTTATTAATAATCATTAATTGTATTATGCCTATTCCCGCACAATCTAAAAATTAAAGTTGCTTTTTAGACTACTTCTGATTTTGACTATAGATTCTTCAATAATTATTTAAAAATAGCTTTTTATAGTTTTTATCAAATATTATTATCAGCTTCTGATAGTTAGAGAAGTGATTTTGAGTTCTAAAAAACACTAACAAAGGCCCCCATATTCTTTTACCCTTCTGTTTCGTAAAAAAATTACGTTTCTACAAATTAGAAAAAGGACTGTGGGAATTGGGATGCCATTAACAAAAAATAAGATTATATGTTTTCACGCCAATTAGTTTTAATGATTTTTTTTTCATGCTTGGAAGAATCGATATACAAACAAAAGCTTCATGTATTAATTTACCTGGAAAAAAAAAGAACTTTATACATCATCTATTGCTATTCTCCCGTTTACCAGATTCTGTGTTGTATATATATGTAAACGCTCTTAATAAATCAGGTCTCAAAGCCTTCCCTTTCATTGAATTTTTTTTACCCCTGCGAGCACATAAACGGAAAAAGATGGGCCGGAGAAAAAAATTAGATTGACAAATGATAATAGAAGAGACTAGAGTCTGTAAAAGAGTTTGAATGAGAGTTTGAATTTAGCACTTTGTATGTAAAAGAGTTTGAATGAGAGTCTGAATTTAGCGCTCCTTTTATGGTATATTTTTTATTAAGATCATCTCTAATGTAAATATTAATGTAAATTATATATTTAATATAAAAAAATTATAATATGATATATTTATTTTTATTTTTATTCTAACGCATAATGCTATTTGAAATGTTAAATATTTTTTTTTCTGTAATTATTAAGTTTCAGAAGTTGTAAAAGTAAATTTTTATTTTTAAAATAATTAGAAAATATAAAAATTGTATTGATTACATGAAAAAAGTAAATATTTCAACCAATAGTAATCAAATACCAAATTTCCATAAGCTATATTTGGTGAGAAATTTGCCACAAAGTATAGTATATGAAAAATTTGACACAATAAATAACATTGCATTGGAGAGTATTTTTTACACCAAAATGTTAAATTTGTAATTGACATATTAATATAGCATTGCATTCGAGATGCTATAAGTATAACATATAGAAAATTTAACATTTAATTACTATTAGTTGAAATGTTTACTTTTTCACGTAATTATTACAATTTTGCTTTTTTTAATTTTTTTAAGGGATCTTTTCCGATACGTCAACATATCGATAGGCAATGTTTTTTATCTGTCAGATCTACATAAAATCACGTAAAAGCTAAAAGTACGCAGATCAAACGGTTAGAAAAACTTAACCTATCAGTACATTAGGGGTACAAGAGAATCTCCTTTATTTTAAAAGGAAAAGTTTATTTTTACAACTTTTAAAACATAATGATTATAGAAAAAAATTTTAATTTTTTAAATAGTATTATGTATTGGGGTGAAAATAAAAATAATATATTATACCATATTTTTTAATATTAAATATACAATTATTATTAACATATGTAGTGGAGAGGTGCTAGTGAGTGAGCTTTATAGCAGTGCTAAAAAAAGAGATAGACTTTTCAAAAAAAAAAAGGAAAAAAATTGGAAAAATACTTTTAAGTACTCCCGAAAATAACGGGTCTGTTTGTTACTGTTTTTATTTTTATTTTTCACGTTTTTCGAAGTAAAAAATTGAAAGGAGAAATGAAAAACGTGTTTGGCGAAGTTTGTGTTAGAAAACAAAAACAAAAACATTTTTGTCTTTTTGTGAAAAACTGAAAACGAAAAAAATACGTTTTCATTTTCACGTTTTCGTTTTCTGAAAACGGATTTCAGTTTTTTTTTCTTCTCTCTCTTCTCCAGCCGAAGAAGACGCCGGAGAATGCCCACCGTCGCTCATCCAGCTGGTGTCAGCACCCCCCCCATTTTCAGAAATGATTCCAAAATGAAAATAAAAACGTTTTTATTTTCATTTTCATACAAAAAATAAAAACGTTTTGGAACAAATTCCAAACGCACCCAACGTTTTTATCTTTTCAAATGTGTTAATTTGTGGCAAGAGAAATAAGACAGAAAAAGAGAAATACGTCAAGACTTGAGATGAATTAAAATTAATAGGTCAATAGTTTATCTAAGTTAATAAATAGGTTAAATTACTGTTTTTATACATAATTTGTATGATTATAAACTATAACTTAACAAGCTATTGTCAATAAATCACGATTTTTATTCATAATTTATCTGACTATGAACCATAACTTGACAAATTTATTTATAACTTATCTAATTATAAACTATAACTTAATAATTTATGACTTATTAATTTTTATAACTAAAAGTTGATCTATATATTTTTTTAATTTTTTATATTGACTTATTTTCTCCAAGAAATAAAAGCGTCTCTGTCTTGTCGAGCACGAGGCAGAAAAAGAAGAACCCAAATAACCCAAGCCCAGCTGAATTGAAGCCTCTTGAAGCCGAGCTAAGCCTTGGCTAAAGCAGCTTTAGCCAGACTCTTGTAGGACCCGTGCAATACGAGTGCGCCACGTAAGCATCCAAATCAGACCAAGAACGTCCAAATCGCTGAGTCGCTATTTTAAACGCAACAAACGAAAACGCCTCGTCTCGGTGCTCCGCACGTGTCGCATTTCCATTGGTTCCCTTACTTTCCCTTCTTTTTGATTATATATATTTTTTATTTTTAAATATTTTCGTTCCTCACTTTTTAAACCCTCGTCGGAACAGATACTTTGAATATCTTCCATTTCATCGGAGCGTCTTCTTGTCCGCTCAGTGCGTAGAGAGAGAAAAATGCGATTTCTAGAGAGAGAAAGAGTCTCCAGGACTCTCTAGGGTTTAGATTTTCAATTCCTTGTTATAAATTTTTGCGGACGAGAACTGCAAAATTTTTCACCGAGGACTTTGAGGTTGAAGATTGGTGATTCTAACTTTTTATTATTATTATAATTTTCTCTTTCTTGGAGCAAAATTTTCTCGTGAAAATTTATTTTGCGTCGACTGTAAGTTGCTTTCTTTTTGTGTTTGTATCTAGACTAGATATCTTGTTTTCTTTGCCAGGAGGAAGATTCGTCTTTTCATAAACTGCACGGAAAACGAGTCTTCGAGCTCAAGCAAAGTTGTTTCTCATTGAGTTTCCAACTTTGAACGGTTATTTTCCGGGAAAGCGGTAAATTTTCCCGGAGAAGATTATTCATTTTTGGAGAAGAAAGTCGTGGAATCGTAGCGAGCTTTCTGAATGGTAAATTTGGACGAGAAAGTCTTGGTGTTCAGAGGAAGGGTTAGATATTGGTTCTTTGATGGTTTGATGAAATGCAAATTGAAAGAAATTTTTGGTGAAAGTTGACCGGTAATATGATTCAAAAAGATGAGAATTGAGTGATTACTTTCGAGAGAGAGGGCTCATATGGGGAAATCGGGCATAATTTGAGGAGTTGCAACCATGAGTTGCAGCGAGAGGAACAGAGGAGGAGGAGAGGAAGAAGAAGAGAGGAGACATGAGCAACCGGTTTTGCCAAGGTCTGTCGAGATGGACCCGAATTCTGTTTCGCGGAATGGTTCAATAACCGCCCCGCAGTTGACGATCGACGAGAACTTGCTGGTTGACCCGAAACTACTGTTTATTGGGTCGAAAATCGGTGAGGGAGCGCATGGAAAAGTCTATCAAGGAAGGTCAGTGTCAACTTCTAATCTGAGGGCGTGTGCTATTGGTGTTCTGTTTTGAAACCTACCGGCCGCAATCGTTGAAACTATTGTGAACAAGTTATTTATATTTATTCTTTGTTGGATAATAGTGTTTGTGTAAGTTTTTTATATTTGTTGGACTTGGACTTTATTAGATTGGCCTACTATATGAGGTTTCGTTCATGTAGAGATGGTTATTGTGAGAATTTATATGGTGGTTTTTTCAGGAATTTATCTTGGTTGCGACTTTATTTTGTAACCAAAGAAGAAAATGGCTTAAATCATGCAAGTCAATTGCTTAAGTTACCCTTGGCGTACCTGTTGAGACAAGGGCTCTGTATGCAATGAGCACATTGAGCAGAGCCAGGTTTCTGAAATGATACAGTTATGCTCAGTTAAAGATAAGATATGGTTTTGGTTTTCAATTTAATAACATGTGCTGATGAATAAGAGCCCGTTAGTATGCTAATGAATTGTGTTTTCTGTTAAGTAGTTAGAGTTACTTGTTTCATAGTTTTAAAAGAGAGAGAAGGCAGAGAAAATCTTGTGTATCAGGGGTTGGATTATTTACAGTGGTTCATCTTTCATCTGGGATACATTCTATACTGGTTTTCCAGGTATGGTGATCGAATTGTTGCCGTCAAAGTTCTCCATCGTGGGAGCACTTATGAAGAAAGAGCTTCACTGGAGAATCGTTTTGCCCGCGAAGTTAACATGATGTCTCGAGTTAAACATGAGAACCTTGTCAAGGTAAGTTTTAAGTATATACATCTTTGAAAGTTCTTTCCCAGCATAAATGGAAGGTATTGTCTATGAAACTATTTTGGTCAACTGTTAAAGGGTTTGCATTTAGTTTTTGTTTTTTTATCCCTTTAAATAGTGTTCTATCTTATTAGTTCCACTGTGTTCATACACTTCTTTTGCCTTTGCAGTTTATTGGAGCTTGTAAAGATCCTTTAATGGTGATTGTAACTGAACTATTGCCTGGGATGTCACTCCGGAGATATTTAGTCGGTATTCGTCCTGGAAAATTAGACCTTCATGTGGCTGTAAAGTTTGCTATTGACATAGCTCGTGCAATGGAATGTCTACATGCCAATGGGATCATACATAGAGATCTGAAACCTGGTATTTTTTGCCTAGTTTAAGCAATATTCATCGTTGAGTTTGTTATTGCTAGATAACTGAATGAAATAATTTTGTTGTTAGTATATATCATGTTTGTAAAGTATTTATTCTAAAACATATCCCTCTCGTCGGAACTTGGAAACACTAGATGTGATTTTCTTCCTCTTTAATTTCTTTGGAAGCATAAAACGTGTTAAAGCTTACACTGAGGCTGAAGTTAGTTGGAGTAGAGCAGGAGTGAGGGCTGCTATTAATGCTTTATTTTCGTTTATCCAGCAAAACCAAGAACAATGTTCCTTGTGTAGAATTCTAGATCTGCTGGATTGTAGACTTTGTTCAGAAATGTGCTTTCCCTTGATTAGTGTATGCTATAGTTCAGCAACAACCATTTAAGGGTGAAAAATAAAAGAAAATAAAACACATCTTCATGTACCAAGCATGAATACCTGTGTCTAAAATTTTCCTTCTCTTTTTTGCTCATGTTTGGATCTGTTGGTAATTGGCATTTTACGTGCAGTTAGTTTTTCGTGTTACGTGCAGTTAGTTTTTCGTGGACCATGTATAGCTTGTTACATGCAAAGAATGCGTTTTCATTAAACTGCCACTTACAAATACAAAGATGTGATTTGATGGTGCAGACAATTTATTGCTTACGGCGAATCAGAAATCTGTGAAGCTCGCAGATTTTGGCCTTGCAAGAGAAGAAACGGTGACTGAGATGATGACTGCAGAAACTGGGACTTACCGTTGGATGGCTCCTGAGGTTTGTATGTTGCGGCTATTGTCATTTTATTGTTTAAACTAGATCTGCTTTTTTGTTTAAATAAATAAATGAATGAACGATAGTGATTTTACTATCTATCGTGTGTTTTTGCTTTCCATTTTTTTTGGACAAGTTGAATGTTTACAGGGTTAATGAATTGATCCCTTGAGGGCTACCTTGTTACATACTTACATTCCCTGTTTATAGACACATTTTGAATCGAATGTTTCTTTTAAACACTTGCTATTATTTTTCAAGGCTTTAAGAGATGTCATAATTTTACTTCGACACTTATTATGCAAAGCAAATAAACTTTATGTCTATTGTTTAGCGTTTTATAGTTCTTTCAACAACGAGAAATTTTGTTGTTGTTTGGGTTTTATTTTTATTTTATTTATTTATTTTTTTGCTTGAATGTTTGGTTTTTTTGTTGACAACGTATTATCAAACAAATCATTACGTGTATACATACATATTGTCTATTCAAGTGGATAGACGAGAATAGTCAATAGTTTCTCCTTTGACTTTGACTTTGATTTTTTCATTCGAAAGGCGGGGGCTGTAGAATTGATTTTGTTGTTTTTCTTTGGTTGATAAACAGAATTGAGTACAACGTACAATACAACAGCTAAACATTTTGGACATCTTTAGTAAATAAATAAATAAACAAGAATCTTTGAACTTGAACAATATATTCTTGGATCGTTTTGCTGTAACATATTGAATCATGGACTTGCTGTCAATCACAAAGTTGAATAAAAAATCGCGTTGCTCTTTTTACAGTCTCACACTGCTTTTGCTAAAATATTGGTCGATTTCTGTTTCCCCAAATGTCTGTATGCCTTTTGCAGTTGTATAGCACTGTGACATTGCGTCAGGGAGAGAAGAAGCACTACAACAACAAAGTTGATGTATACAGCTTTGGAATTGTGTTATGGGAACTGTTAACGAACCGCATGCCATTTGAAGGCATGTCAAATTTGCAGGCTGCCTATGCTGCTGCTTTTAAGGTGCGCGGAGTTAATATCCTTTAATTTGCATACAGATTTGGTGATTACTATAAATATAGCCATGCTCGTAACGGTGTATTTGTGTTGTGTCCACTTGTAATAGCTTAACTTTAGATGACAAGGGGAAGTAAAAAGCTTTAGTTTGTCATGTGCAAAACTGATGGTGATTGATAAACTATTCTCTAATAATGCAGCAAGAGCGGCCTAGTATGCCTGAGAACATCTCTCCCGATCTTGCTTTCATCATACAATCATGTTGGGTTGAAGACCCCAACTTGAGGCCAAGCTTCAGCCAGATTGTGCGCATGCTCAATTCATTTCTCTTCACACTTTCACCAGCACCACCCTCACTAGATTCCGATGCTAACGATGCAGCTGCTAGTAATGAAAATGATTCGATGAATGACTTATCTGCACGCACAAGAGGAAAGTTTGCTTTTATTCGGCAATTGTTTACCGCAAGGAAGACCAAGAACCCGCAATGAGCGGGTCTATTTTGAAGTCATTTTTGGGTTCCAACTTGAGGAACACAGGCATGCACTAGAAAATGTTTCGAACAAGTTTGTGATTACTCAGCCTAAATCACGAATGATCTGCATACTGCGGAAAATGCCAATGAAGAAACAATGTTGATTGCGGAAAGAATAAAAAAAGGATAAGTCGGCCATTTCACGTAGTCTAGTTAACCTTATTGTAAAGAAGATACATGGTTTTGAACATTTTTCTGTTCATATCAATGTTACCTTCTTTAGAGGTATATAGTTCACCGGTAATTATAACAACTTTTTTCCCTTAGTTTTTATCGTCTTGGTCATGCATTTTGGTTTTCTGTCAAGGTCACGGTTCTATGAATAGAGATTAAAGCATAAATGTAAACTGAAATGTTAGTATAGTATTTGTTCATACTGGGTTTAAACTAGGCATTGAAGCTACATAACTGGAAATGTTGGTATATGAACATGCTAAATTCTTACGATACACGAATGGTTATCGACTCTAGGTGTGCCGTTAAACCGAAAATACTTGTCTCTTTGATATTCTGTGAGATGAAATTTAAATATGTTTGTAAAAGTTAAAATGATCGATAACAAATCTGTTAACATTAAAATAAGCGTATGAGTTTACGCGTAATTAAACGCCATTGTCTCAGCTCCATGTTGAGATTTAAGGTCCATTTAGTTCGTTGATTTGAGTATTAAATTTGAGTTGAGATGTGATTTTATGTGAGAGTTTTTTACTGTAGTAAAAAATTAGATGTGACTGTTTCTGAGAGTTTTTTATTATAGTAAAACTTGAATTCTAAACTTGAATTGATGAAATGAATCAAGCCTTAATTAAGACCTAATTGTATGATGTGAAACTTTTTAATGGTCACCTTGATTGAGTTTTGCTACCGACCATGCTGCACTAATGCACTTTGAACTTTGTCGTTTCTAGGTTGGAACAAAACTTAAAATTTCAGCAATTGAAACTCTAAAATGCAAGAGTCCGTTGCAAATGTGGTTCAAAGGATAATTACAGCATGGGAAGAGCAGGGAAAAAGGATGTGTGTGGGCATTGGTGGTGGTGAGAGGAGGAGGGTTGTAAGGCGCGCGGGTGCGCTCAGCAAACCGCACCGCGTGGCGTTGAGATACGAGCTGCGTGTGTGTGAAGCATGCGACAGGGCCCTTGATCTTTTTCTCCCTCGCCCTAGTTGTCTTGTCCACCTTTCCTCCTCCCTTGTTGTCTTTGATTCCTATTTCCACTCCTGCATGTCCCTCAACCGTTTGGATTGCAAACAACAAATCCTGCCAAACTCCTCATCCTCCACCCGCTTCTTCCGAACACTCTCCAACTTTGACATCTCCGATCTTCTTAATGACTCATTGATCATTATGGTTGATGATTCCCAATCTCCAACTAGGGAGGGATGGCAATAAGGAGAGTTGCACTTCCCAACCACATGCTATTTTTCTGTGACGAGAAGTGAAACATAAGAGGTCAGGTGAGAAAAATTCAATATTTAAAACAGTTCGGTGAGAACTTTTAAAATTAATAGACTAAAATAGGAATGACACTAAAATTCACTGCACACTGATACGAATTATCCAAAAATATTGTAGCGAATATCATTTTGTTTTGAAGCGTCGAATCTGTACTGAGTTCTATTAATTCTATGCACTTTGTATATGATCTAGTTTAGATCATATTCAACGTCGGAAAACATGTACACATACTTCAAGACTTTTAGGCGATAAATTGATGACAACACCTTTTGATCAAGACGAGATATTACAAATCAGAGCAAGGAGAGGGACGATAAACTAGACGAAGAGAGGAGAAGAAAAGAAAGTCATTTGAGCTCATTGCTCAATCAAAATCCCCACGCTCTTACAAAAAAAAAAAAAAAAAAAAAAAACCCCCCCCGCCCCCCCCCCCCCGAAACCCCCAAAAAAAAAAAAAAAAAAATCCCCCTTCCCCTCCCCCCCCCCGAACCCCTTCAAAAAAAAAAAAAAAAAAATCCCCATCGCTCTCACTCCCACGTAACCCCTCAAAAAAAAAAAAAAAAAAAAGAAAAAAAAAGGAAAAGTCTAACAAAGTCAGTATATTCTCGAATCATCTCAGCCGTCGAATCCCAATCATACTCACACGTGTCCTTTGAACAAAAGGTCAAAATTCCACGCGACGTACGCCTCAATAACCCCATTTAATTTAAGTTTATTTCTCTAAGAAAACGCAAAAAAGAAAAAGACTCAAGTCAATGCCACTGTCTTAAGTTGGTAGAGACACAAACTACTGTTACATGGTAGAACCAGATAGAGAGAGAAAGTTACTGTGAAGAGAGAGAGAGAGATAGAGATAGAGAGAGAAACTACTGTCTTGTACTGCACAAGAGTACCCTTACAGAGAAAGGAAGATTGGGAATTGGGATAATCTTCCATACGACTTTTGAGATCCAGGGGAAGATCATCACATAAATAAAAATAAAAATAAAAATTTTTGAGGTACAAAACATGAACATCTTTTTCCTCTTGATCATTTGACTCGAATCTCGATTTCGGAGATATATTCTTGTAGATACTTGTATATTTGTGTGTTTCTTTATCTGGTCAACTCCAAATGGGCGATCAGACAACTTCAGAGGGAAACCTCAGAGGATGAGGGATTTTCTCGGGAAAATTTTTGAGTCGAATTGAGAAACGGGAATCTGGGTTTTAAATTCGGCGTTGTTTTGGGAGCTGGGTAATGAGAAAATGGGGGAAAATGTGGCGGCTTTGCAGACGGCGGTGAACTCCGTACTGGCTTTGGGGCGGGGCTTTGACGTGAACTTCGATACGAGGTTGCTTTACTGCAAAGGAGTTTCGGGGTCTCGGATAGTGGAAGTTGATCAAGAGCATACGAGGGATCTGTGGCTGTACGATGATGTTTTTGTTCCAAATGTTTCAAGGGACATCAAGAACTTTCACGAGTCTTTTGCTGGCCGTCAGAGCTCTGGGGTTTGTGCCTTTAATGAGGTTAGAACATGCTTTTATCTTTATTGGATTTTTAGATTTCCTTACTTTTGTATTTGTTTTATTTATTCATGACAAGTTTTAGTGGGTGCATTTTTATTTTATGTTTATTGAAAATAAGAGATTTGGAGTTCACTGGCATGGTCTTGAGCTTAATCTCAGGTATTTGAGAACAGTTGAAGAATTACAAAGTAGGCTAGATGGAAATTGGAATCTATGGTTGTGGGTTTCTTTCTTCTATCTTTGGTTGTATTAGTTTCTGCTGCATGAAGAAGTGGTTTATGTTGTTGAATTTGTTGTAAGAAGCTAGAGTGGGGTTTGAATAGGTTGACAACAAAACATAATTTGACCAATTTATCAGCTTAACAAATTTTTTACTTCGATCACTTATCAAGGAAGTGATCAGAGTAAATTTTATTCCTAACAATTTGCCGCAACTCCGTCAAGTAATTGCTTTCGATATATTGGTTAGTTGCGTGTTTACATTGTAGGGCCTAATGATTTAGTTTTGTTTAGGTGTTTGGGGAATGTAGCTTAATTGGAAACTAGGAGGTAATGACTTCAGTACAATGTGGGAGTGTTAATGTTCAAATGGAGAAATGATAGGTACCTGCCCTGCCTCAATCAAGATAATGAAATTAACACTAGGAATCTGAATGAAAATACCCAGAAAGATGGGTTATGGTTCCTTTTATTGATGAACACTCTATTCCACAGTTACAGAGAAGTATGACAGAAAGCAAACACCAAAGGAAAAGAAAGATAGAATTGAGAGCATTGACCAACACTAACTTTTCACAAGATTCGATGCCTTCCCTCGCGCACCTCCCCTCCCCTATATTTCCTCTCTAACAAACTCCTATAACAGAATTGCCAATTCAGCAGCGTCACTAGCCCTGACCACATCACTTGTCTTTCTCTTTTTACCCCTTCTAGTATAAGTAAATCTCAAAGGAGGCCTGGGCAGGGTTCTATCAAGAAATTTATCGGATATAGAATAGAGAGATGCAATATGTTGATGTAAACTTTGTCTTATCGCACTTGCTCATATCGAGCTTTAGAAAATTTATAGGTCTCTCTATGTCATTACCCCTTGATTCCTAGCTCCTACCTGAGGTAATTCTTCTAATAATTCGTCTACTAATTCATCGATTATTGGGATTGGGAACTTGTTGGGTACCGTGAGCTGATTGAGGGCCCGATAATCTACACAAAACCTCAACTCCCATCCCTCTTTTTCACCAAAATCACCAGGCTAGAGAATGTACTAGTACTAGGCCGAATTATTCCTGAAGCCAGCATTTCCGCTACTAATCGCTCAATCTCTTCCTTCTGGACATAGGGGTACCGGTACGGCCGAATGCTCGGTGGTGTGGCGCCTTCTGTCAAAACAATCCGATGATCCGAATCGCGAGGCGGGGGCAGTCCTGTAGGAGTCGAAAAGACATCCCCAAACCGGTCTAACACCCCGTGCAGTTCCGGTGGAACTGCTGGACCGGCCTCAACTACAGTCTTAATTTCGGTCTCATAAAGCTCAATTAGAAATGCCATTTGTGGGAACTTAAACCGCCGAGAAAGGGAGTGAAGGCTCACCAGGGAACAGCTCAATGTCGGATCGCCCTGCCACCCTACCCAACGAGAGCTGTTGAAGAACTTCAGTGTGTATTTAGACCAATCCGCTCTGATTTCCCCAAGCGTCCGCAGCCAAGTAACCCCCAGCACCACGTCTGCGCAGCTCAGCTCAAAGGGGAAAAAGTCTTCCATGACACAGAAACCTTGAATCCATAGCTCTACTCCCTTGCACAACCTTTGCTGCCGGAACTTCATTTCGTTCCCCACCTGGACCCCATAGCAAGCCGTATTATCACAGGGTACCCCCAGCTCCTCTACCACCTTAGTGGAGAGGAAACTGTGCGAGGCTCCGCTATCAATCAACACCACCACTTGGCGGGACCCCAGCTTTCCTACTACCTTCATCGTGTTAGAGGAGGTGAACCCGAGCAACGAGTTGAGAGACAAATCTGCCTCCTCGTCCGGGAACCTAGCGGGTGGCTCCACCTCTTCTTCTTTCGTCTCCTCCAACTCTGACTCTTCTCTGGCCACCAAGAGAACCTGCAGCTGCCGGTTCTTACAACGGTGTCCTAACCCAAATTTTTCATCACACCGAAAACAGAGTCCCTTAGCCCGCCGTGTTTGGATCTCCTCGTTAGAAAGTCGTCGGAATCCCGGTTCTCGGCTGGTCGCCGCCACTTGAGCAATAGCGTAGTCTGACTTCGCTCGTGGGAAGGTTCCAAACTCCTTCGAACCGCTAGACTGAAGGTAGCTCTGAGCAAAGGGATAATTACCCCTAGGCTGGTCCAAATTAGAAGCACCCCGGGCCGGCCCATCTGGTCTCCACATGCGGCCCATCCGTAGCTTCTTAAACTTGTCTTGGGCCTCATTCCTGTCTTCCACCTGCTGGGCCAGGTCCATGGCTTCTTGAAGGTTAATGGGCCGGTGTAACTTGACCTCAGCCCGGATATCCTCTCGCAGCCCATTCAGAAACGCTCCCCTGAAGATGGGCTCAGGAACTCCTCTCAACGCCGCCGCCAACGTCTCAAAGGTGTCACGGTACTCCGCCACTGACCCGCACTGCTTCAACGACATCAACCTCTCCGTTGGGTCACCCTCTCTAGCGTGGTTGAAACGGTGCA